TATCGCCCAGGCTGGAGTGCAGTGGCACAATCTCGGCTCACTGCAACGTCCGCTTCCCAAGTTCAAGCAATTCTTCTGCCTCAGCCTCCCAAGTAGCTGGGATTACATGGCGCTTGGCTAAGTTTGTATTTTTAGTAGAGACGGAGTTTATCCATGTTGGTCAGGCTGGTCTCAAATTCCCGACCTCAGGTGATCTGCCGGCCTCAGCCTCCCAAAGTGTTGGGATTACAGGCGTGAGCCACTGCACCTAGCCCTGAATCTTTTATTATTTGACTTAGTTTTATAATTGAGTCTCTGGACTTTTCTTGATGTACTGTTATATCTCCACATAGAAATTTTTCCATCTTATGCCTCTAATTGATTTCACTTGTCTAATTATGTTGGCTAATCCCCCACACACCACCCCAATTTATTGTTAAACAATAGTAGAGATAGTAGACATTTTTTCCTTATTCTTTATCGTATTGGAAGTACTTCTGTTTTTATACTATTGGAAATACTTCTATTTTATACTATACTCCTATTTTTATACCAGTTTCTGGTTTTATACTCAATTAAATTTAATCTAAAGTATGAAAGATTAATGTAAATAATTATGTGTCAATAAACCTGATTATTAAAAAGAATCTATCTCTGCTACTTCCGGGTTTGGAGGAGGATGGTGGCCACCTGATGTTGAATCTCCCCACTGTCCCTCCCCTCTGTTCCAAACAATAAAAAAGGGGAGAGCAAGTAAAACCACACTTGGCCCTGCATTTCACGATACTAGGAGACAGAGAATATCATGGCTTCACATTACATGTAAGTTCAGAAATAAACTGAATTCCCATAAAGGTTCTATTGCTGTAAGTCTGTGGATGCCAAGAACAAGTATAGGAGAGACTTAAAAGACTCCATGAGAATAAGTAGAGTGGTTCAGAGTACTTAGACAAAGCACAAACAGAATAGTCTCCTTACCCCCAGAAAGAGAAGCTCCAATACAAAGTATAAAATACTGAACACAGGTTTGGATATACTAGACCATATCACCAGCTCTTAAAAGAGTGCAGGACTAGGGAAGCCTCAGAGAAGTATTGCTCCTGGGAGATAATCAGCTATCTAGGAAAGATGTGGTTTCCCTTGGAGACAGGCCACTGAAGGGAAAGAAGAAAATATGAGGGAAAAGCTAAGGTTCTAATGGAAACAAAAGAGAAAGAAGATATACCAACCCCTCCTTCCACCAATGCTATTCATAAATGAAACTGCCCAGAAAAAGGGAATTGTCAGAAGAGGGCGCTGTCAAACTAGGAACCCTGTTCACAAAATGAAGAGGAATAGAAAAAAGCAGATCACACCTATATAAAAACTACTGCAAAAAATGCTGAAAGTGCAATTCAGAGTTAAAATGTTGATACAGATTCTCTAACAATCACAAAATTGACAAAACTGTAACACCTTCCTTCATACTGGATTAAATATCCTCAGTCAGCATTTAGGAGTAATGAAAAAAACAGTTTGAATCACAAATTAGAAAACTAAGAAATGGACAAAAAAGAGAAAAGGAAAGGAGTGTTAACTGAATCCAGAAAAGAGAAGACAAATTCAAAATTGTATTACAAATGAAAACTAAGTTTGTCCAAGGGACAATAAATTTGTATAAAAATTTATTAAGGGGCATTAAAAGCAGGGGGGATCCCTAAATAATGAAAATGAGCTTAAACAAAAAAGTTAAAAGGTTTAAAGAAAAAAATGATTGAATTGGAAAACAGGCAGAGGAGGTCCAACATAAGACTACTTGGAGACCCTCAAGAAAATCAGAACAGCTGACTGGAGCAAATATCTAAATTAGAGTCAAGAAAACTTTCTGGAAAGAAAGGAAACCTTGAATCTACATATTGAAAGGGCCTACCAGGTACCAGGGAAAATTGACCCAGAACAGTCCAAGAAGTATCCTAGTAAAATTATTATATTTTAAACATTGAAAAACAGAAAAACTGGGGATAATAATGAGAGAACTAATAGGGGATTCATTTTAGGTAGTTGACCTTATGTTATTGGAGTTACATGGCTAACCAGTATATGTGAGGCTGTTGCTTCTGTGTGCTCCTGCAACCTACCTGAGTTTGCTGACTTTTCAGGGTCTTCAAGCAGAGATGTGTGTGTATATGTTCTTGTGCTTTGGTTTGGAATTAAAGTGTAATTGTTGGCAAATTATATCTCCTGATGGCAGGTCAGGCGGTTGAGAAGGAAAGATGGATATAAAGTAGCAGAGAACAAGGGCAAACCAGAAAGCACGTGCAAACATGAGCTAGAACTCGCAAGGATAAACTGAAACCTATGTAAACTTCAGTTTAGATAATGAAATGGAGCAAAACACTCATCTGGCCCAGAAATTGGAGATGTGGAAGGAGAAGATCTACAACCCTGATATTACTGCTTTCATTTGCCTCTCACATCTTTTTTTTACCCCTTTATTTTTAGCCTTTCTGATTCACATTTTCTTAGATGTATCTTTTATATAAAGAACTTATCCAAATCTTTTTCTTTTAATAATGAGTTAAGCCCATTGGTATTTATTCGTATGACTGGTAATGTACAAATATTATGTGTATTTGGTTATATCTGTTGTGTTTATCAACATGATGCACTTTCTTTGCTGTTTTATTTTCCTAATCTCTTCTGATATTTATAAGTGTTTACATTTATCTTTTGTTAATCTTTGTACTTACAACTTTAAAAAATAATAATAGCAAAATTTGTTGAATTTTTACTTTACACTAGGTACTATGCTAAATGCCTTACACAGATATCTCTTTTAATCCACCTGACTTACAAGGCATTTACTATTATTTTCCTCATTTTGCAAATGAGAAAACAGATGAACAGTTAAGTAACTTGCCCAAGGTAACAGGTGTGCAGTCCTTCCCACACTGCCCCACCACCTTTACCCACATTCCCCAGGCAACCATTCCTCACTGCATCTTTTTTCCCCAGCTGCTTTCAAGGTGTGTGTGTGTATGTGTGTGTGTTCAGCCTTTGGTTTTCAGCAGTTTGTTTATGATGTGTCTAGACATGGTTTTAATTTGTGTGTGCTGAGCTTGAATTCTCTAAATTTGTATATTTAATCAAATTTTGAAAGTTTGGGCGTTATTCAGTTATTTTTTTCTGCCCCAATCTATTCACTTTTTCTGGGATTCCAGTTATACTTACTTAGATATTTTGAAACTGTTCCACAGGCCCCTAGGTTCTGTTTATTTTTGTTTCAATCTTCTTTCTCTCTTTGTGTTCTTTAGATTGGATAATTTCTGTTGAGCTGTCTTCAGGTTCATTAACCTTTTCTTTGTCATGTCCTTTTTGCCCATGAGATCATCCAGTGAACTTGTGGTATTTTTCAGTTCTAAAATTTTTAGTTATTTTTTATAATTTCCATTTCTCTGTTTATGTTTCCGTCTTTTTACTTACTTCATATGTGTTTTTCTTTACCTCATGGAGCATAGTTGTCTAGTTGCTTGAAAGTCTTTGGTAAGTCGAACATCTGCTTTATTTTGGCATCGATATCTCTTGATTTTTTTCCCCCCTTGATAGTTGACCATATTTCCTTGTTCTTTTCTTTGAATGTGAGGTAATTTTGGATTGTATCCTGGACGTTGGAATGTGATGATATGTGAACTCTGGGTTCTGTTGTAGTCCTGTAGGGAATATTGGTAGCTTTATTTTAGTAGGCATTCAACCCTCTTAATTCAAATTATAACTTCTGTCTCATCTTCCATCAGCTCTCTCTCCTTCTGTAAACCCAGTTATTCAGTTCTCAGCTCCCCAAGCATTTGCTACACTTTTTTGAGTCTGTTCCATGTACTGTAGTTTAGAGGTTAAACTAAGACTTGTGAGTGTTCATACTCAGAAATAAGAAGTTGCTTTCCCCAACTCTTCCCCTCAGGGTTTCTCCCACACTGTCCAGGTTACGTGGTTTCTTGGGCCAGAGTTGCAGCCAGGTTTCTATTGGGAGTTTTGGCTCCCCATACAGCTCCAAAACTGGAACCCACTCTCAGGGCAAAGCTAGGAAAAGGATGGAAAAAGAAAATAAAATTGGCAGTTCACTCTTCTGTCACTTGCTTTTCTGAGTTTTGACCCTCCTGTACAATCTACCTGGTTTTGTTTACTTTTCTCTGTCTTCAAGCAGGGTGTGTCTTCAAGCATGCATGTTTGTGTTTTGATTCGGAATTAATAGTTGTAATAAAAGCATGAGCTTCTGGGAAATTATACCTCCTGATTTGTGTGGTTTTATTTGTTCATCTTGCAGGTTTGAGTAGTTTTTGATGGATGTGTTGGGAGATTTGAATGTACTTAGCTGTTATTATCTCTACTAGTTTGGTAGTAAATATTGAAATTTTTCACTGAATCCAGCCTAACACTTTTTTTTTTGTTTTGTCACTACTTGAAATAATGTATTGATTAGATAAGAGACATATGTTGTTTTCAGCTGTTATGTCTACAGAAAGGCTTGTTCTAAGAACCATACAATAGGAATTTTAAATAAATCAAAAGCTTTATATTATGGAAACATCTTGCTTATATTTATTCTGTTAATCTGTAATGTAAAGTTAGATCAAAAAATATAAGAGAGTGATATAACAATAAATACCTCCCAAAAGCAGACATAAGCAACTGAATTTCAAAGGGGCTTATTATAGGTGGAAAAAAATTCCACATTTAATAAGAAAATAAAGATGATTTTTATAGCATTATCTAAATAAAAGAAAAAAGGAGTTTTAATTCTTCAGTAACCATATGAATTTGATATGTGTTTTTATGTAATAATCAATATTGTTATGAGATTTAAATTTGTAAGTTTTTTGTATGTGTGTTAAAATGCAGTTGAAGATCCCAGCGTAGTTCTACTTTCTGTTTTTTTTGATCTATGGACTTTTAATATTTATTAGTGACCCAAAACCTAATGTGTGGATGATGATATTCAAACATAAATATTTAATAATGTTTAACATATAATGTTTTCCTTTCAGATGGTCTTCTCATTATTGGTGTTCACTCAGCTAAGTTTCCAAATGAAAAAGTCCTGGATAACATTAAGAGTGCTGTTCTTCGATACAACATCACCCACCCTGTGGTTAATGATGCAGATGCCAGCCTTTGGCAAGAACTAGAAGTTTCCTGCTGGCCAACTCTAGTCATACTTGGACCTCGCGGAAACATGTTGTTTTCTTTGATTGGAGAGGGACACAAAGATAAATTATTTTTATATACTTCAATTGCTTTAAAGTATTACAAAGACAGGGGGCAGATCAGAGATGATAAAATTGGAATAAAACTCTATAAAGATTCTTTGCCACCTTCACCATTGCTGTTTCCTGGCAAAGTAACAGTAGACCAAGTTACTAATAGATTGGTAATAGCAGACACTGGACATCATAGAATTTTGGTCGTTTGGAAGAATGGACAAATTCAATATAGCATTGGAGGTAAAGCTTCTGATTATGATATATAATATGTTTTACAGTAAAAAAAATAGCTCAGGTAAATATAAAAGTTGAAATGTCTAAATGAAAACTAATTATAGAAAAGTGATATACATTGACTTAACTTCCTAACAAAAATTTTTTGTTAATTAATGCATGATGTCTGAATTAACCTCTTCTCACTCCCTCATAAAACAAACAAAAACACTGAAAAAGCTCCAGGTGAAAAAGAGGAAATAGTTCAGCTTTTAGATACATTTGTATATTCTATCTTTTTTTTTTTTTAACTGCTGTACTTACTGTTTCTTATGAAAACATACATTTTGGATTTCAGACGTTTTAAGTAGAAGTATTATGTTTCACTTTCCAACAAAATATAGCCATATCTTTTTAAAGATCATGTCAGTGCCCCATGAACTTGAGAAGTAGTTTATAAAATAATTAAGCTAGAATTTATGCATAATTTTACTTTTCTCTCTTTCTTTCCATAAGAACTTGAACGTGTGTCTGGATCTATTTCCAGAATAGAAATAGGTGTAGCAGAGTATAAGTATCATGCAAGCATAGATCATTTTATTCTATATCTCCCTGGTCTTAGATCTAAAACTACCTCTTGGTTACATGTACATAATTAATAAACTCTACGGAGTACATTCTTATTAATCTTACTTATCCAAACTGACATCTGACAACATGTTAGTCAAAGACAAAAGTAATTCATCTCTTTGCAGTTAGTCCTGTTTTAGTAATATATGCAGCATTAGTACATAAAGTAGGAATGTCTCAGTTCCTAATATAAAAAAGCTAGTTGTAGTCCTATGCCCTGATGTTATTCTTAATGTGCCAAGATACAGTAGGTGTTGTGTTTTGTGGTGTTTGTTTTGTTTTGGCTGCTTGGTATTTTGATTTATGACAGGCAGTTATGAGAATTGAATTGTTACTCAAAAAGTGTCTTTTGTAGCAGCTTGAACTTAAGTGGTTTTAAAGTGTTTAATAGATTCTGTGATTTTCAAAATAGTGTAGGTGAATATTCTTTGTTAAAAGAGAAACCAAGCTACACTGCCCAAACATATTTCTTTGTTAAAAGAGAAACCAAGCAAGCTATACTACCCAAACATATTTCTAGAAATACTGTTACCTTTTGATATAGTTATTCTTTAATTTTTAAAAAAGAATTATTTGGTCAGATACACTCAGGAAACACTACTTTAATGTTATCTAACAGATTTTTGTTGGTGATGGTATAATATTTCTCGAATTTTTTACCCTGCTAATTTTCCTCATGAGGGGGTATAGTACGCAATCTTTTTCAATCTCGCATAACCACAGAACTCTCCCTTTTTTTTCAGGGAACTCTTATCAATATCAACAATAATAATAGTATTATTAACAATTATAGTTACAGCAGACACTATATGTCTGGCATTATTCGAAACATTTTACTTGTATGAACTCATTTTTGCCTGCACAATGCTATGAGTTAGGTAATTAGTTCCATTTTACAGAAGAAAAACTGAGACACAAAGAACTTGCCCAAACCACCAGCTAGAAAGAGACAGACCTAGGATTTAGGGTCTATTGGGCTCTTGAGTTTGTTTTCTTTTTTTTTGAGACAGAGTCTCACTCTGTCACCCAAGCTGGAGTGGAGTGGCATGATCTCGGCTCACTGCAACCTCCACCTCCCAGGTTCAAGCAGTTCTCCTGCCCCAGCCTTCCAAGTAGCTGGGATTACAGGTGCCTGCCACTATACCTGGCCAATTTTTTGTATTTTTAGTAGAGATGGGATTTCATTGTTTTAGCTAGGCTGGTCTCGAACTCTTGACCTCAAGTGATCTGCCTGCTTCAGCCTCCCAAAATGCTGAGATTACAGGTGTGAGCCACTGTACCAGGCCTTGAGTTTGTTTTCTAGCCACTCCATTACACTACCTTTTTATGGCTGCCTCGGACGATGGAGTTCCACAAAGCAGTTTGAACTGCTGATTTAGAGGCCTTGAATGGCTTGTTTGCTGGCCAGGGAAGTAACAATTACATTTTATTGTGTTATGCTCTCCACCCTTGAAACTCTACATGAATTGTTAAAACTGAGAAGTGTACTAGAATCACTCTCTCTCATAGTGTGTACGATATATCGTAGGACTTTGTGACAAAGTGAAATAGTAGATAAGGATTCTTCATCTGGGGTCCTTGGGCTCCTAAAGGAAAGGCTTCAGTGGTCCTCAGGATCTAGGATTGTTTGCAACAATTTAGCCATGTGTATTTTTCTAGGGAAAGGGCTTGTATTATCCAAGGAGCATATCTTTCAAAAATGTTAAAAATTGTTCATCCGTTGAATAATTGGAGTTATTTTTAAATCTTTGTAGTCTAGGTAATGGATAATTAGAATGCTTTTAAAATTATTTTCTTCACTATATGCTACTATGCTTAAGTGCACTAGTAATTACACTATGAGCCCTGTCATTAGCAAAACTCACTCTTAAGAAAAATGGTCCTTGAGGAACATTTTAGTTTTTATATGGACATGCCATGTTTTTATATTAAATATTAAATATTAAAATCCCAGCATTAAATACAAGTTTGTTTTGTTTTGTTTTACCTTGAGATCACTTCTTAAGTGGGAAATTTTATCTCATTTTAGGACCCAACCCTGGAAGAAAAGATGGAATATTTTCAGAATCAACTTTCAATTCTCCACAGGGTGTAGCCATAATGAATAATATCATATATGTGGCAGACACTGAAAACCACCTTATAAGAAAGGTAATTTTCATTTTAAATTTGTTTTAATACTTATAATCAGAAAAAGTGAATTGTATTTGCTACATTAAATATTTGAAGTTAAAGGGTGATGCTTATGTATGTCAATGTCCTTGTTCTGCTTTTTTTGAGGTACTTACTTTAGTTTTATTCTCAAGTATCCTGTTGCTATTTGTGTCAGTATGTAGTTACCACAAAAGAAAACCCCACTGAGTTCTTTTTTTAACCCTTTGTTTCAAAGCTGTGTCCCTAACCACTCAAAAGCTCCTCATTTTGGAGTATTTTCCTAACTACTAGTTTACAATGATCCTTTGTCCTTTTTCAGTTAAATTTTCTCAAACTAGAAAAAAAATCATATCACTCCTGCTTCTCTTCAACTCTTATGCTTTGGCTGGAAATACTGATTAGCCAATTCGTCTTAAAACTTGTTTTATCTTATTATAAAAGTAATATGTGTTCTTATTTCTAAAAAGTCAGCTAATACATAAAGCTAAAAAGAAAGTCCCCTGACCATCAATTCCAGTTTCCCAGAGGTAACCATCCACTGTTAAAGTGTGTGTCTTTTTGGAAATGTTCTACTCTTATAAAAATAAATTGATATTAAAAAGCCTATTTGTAGAGAATTTTTTTAAACAAAGGTAACGATACTATTCATACATAATGTTTTGTAGGTTTTCTAACTTTATTTTTTTGCATATTAGTCACCTGAATGATACGACTATATCACATTTCATTGTAGATGTACTCAGTTATTTCAGACATTTCCTACCTATGGCTGTTTTGGCTAAACCATTGGTCTTTAAGTTGCTATGTGTTTGGAAAATAAGTAACCAAGTTCGTCATACTCATCCTGTCTAAATACATTGTTTCAGATACTTCCTTGTTTTTCTCACTGTTTCTTTCAGTATTGACATTTATCCTCATTTATTTGACAATATTATCACCTATATACACATAGTAGAAAAAAATACATATAATATATAATAATAGTGACTGTACTGTAAGTCTTCCTGAGGGCTAGAAATATGTTTTGTCTACTACTAAATACTGGCATCTAGAAAAGACCTGGCCTATGGTAGGTGTTCAACAGATATTTGTTGGATAAATTTATGAGCAAATAATACTGTTTCATGAAGCACTTTCGAAAGTGTGTATTCCTCTTAATATAAAAGTGTTACATGAAAAACAGATTTTGTGGGTTAATACATTAAAGCAGACGTGTTTTTTAAAGTCTTGGAGACTTTCTTCTTCCAGACTTAAATATGCTAATGTGTTGTTGAGTGCATTAATAGGGGGATATTTGTGCAGCATTTCTAAACTTATTTGACCAGAGATCCCTTTATAGGCAGAGCTGTTCATAGGACTAATGTTTCCATTGTGTATATTTTATGGAAAAGTGGGGTTTTTTATTACTGAATTTTTAATGATTAGTATTTCTTTATCATTATCTTTTTGGGGTTGTATGCTTTTATAATTCATCAGAGGGGCTAGACCTCTAATGGTGTATTGAATTGGTAAAATAGCCAGCCTGCAACATTCAGGGAGTACTTGTCCTTCTTTTCTAATTGTATGTCATTTCTCTTACTTTACAACTTAATGGGTTTTGGAGTATTGACCATGTGCTGCATTTCAAATATTTATGCATTTAAGTAGCGTAATCACAACAAATTTAGGTTACCTGAAATTGTTCTATATTATATGACTTAATATGGTGTCTGCAGAAATGGAAAGTAGAATTTTTTTCATTTAAAAATACAAGAATATTTGTTGTGTTTTATTTTTGTTTAAGACCTCATTTGCAGAGGATTGAGTTGATTACACTTCTCCATTCACGGTTCACAAACATAGTTTCATGCAGACCCTTCTCATTCAGAATAATTTATTTAAATTATAAATTCTCCTACTTGCCCATACCCCCCACTGTCACTCCCCTTACATTAACATACCCATTGTGATATTTTTAATGCTTACTTTTTATTTGTACGTGATCTTGTAAACAAAGTGTTTTGTTTATATTTTTAATTACTTTATTGTGCTATATTTTATATATCATAAAGTTCACCCATTTCAAATCTACAATTCATTAGTTTTTAGTAAATTTAACAGGTTTTGCAACTGTAACCATATGTGGTTTTTAAAACATTTCATCCCCCAAGTAAGAACCCACATGACCACTTACAGATAGTCCTTATCCCCTCCCATCCCTAGGCAACTGTTAATTTACTTTCTGTCTCTGTAAATTTGCCTTTTCCAAACATTTTGTTTAAATAGAATTATATATGTTTTCTTGTATTTGGCTTCTTTCATTTCGCATAATGAAAAGTTCATGTGTGAAGTGGCACGTCAGTAGTTCATTCCTTTGTATTGCTGGATAGTATTCTGTTGTGTGAATATGACATTTTATCTACCAATTCACCATTGATATTTAGATTGTTTTTTGGCTATTTTGTATATTTTGTTATTTTGGGCTGTTATGAATAATCTTGCTGTGAGCATTGATATATAAGTTTTACATGGACATACATTTTCATTTGTCATACCTAGAACTGGTATTGAGGAGTTACATGTTTTGTATTTAATTTTTTGAGAGCTGCTGAATTATTTTCCATAGCAATTGCACCATCTTACCTTCCCACTCGAAATATATGTGGGTTCCAATTTTCTACGTGTTCACTGTCACTTGTTATTTTTCAGTTTTAAAAAATTTTAGCCATCCTACTAGATATGAAGTGGCATCTCATTGTGGTTTTGATATGCATTTCCCTCATGACTAATGATGTCAAGCACCTTTTCCTGTGCTTATGGGCCATTTTTATATCTTTGAGAAGTGTCTGTTAAGATTCTTAGCCAAATTTTTAACTGGGTTGTCTTTTCTGTAAGAATCCTTTATATATTCTAGGTACAAGTTCTTTATCAGATATATGATTTGCAAATGATTTTTCACATTTTTCTGCTTGCATTTATACTTAGTTAATCATGTTCTTTGATGCATAGAAGTTTTAAATTTTGATGATGACTAATTTGTCCATTTTTTCCTTTTGTTGCTTATGTTTTTGTTGTCGTAAGAATCCATTACTAAATCCAAGGTCACAATTATTTACCCCTGTGTTTTATTCTAAAAGTCTTGTAGTTATGGCTCTTATAATTAGGTCTTTGATCCATTTTGAGTTGATTTTTGTATATGGTGTGAAGTAAGGGTTCAACTTCATTCTTTTACATGCGGATATACAGTTACCCCAGAAAGATTTATCCAAGAGACTATTCTTTCTCCATTGAATAGCCGTAGCAACCTTGTTAAAAATTAGTTGATCATAGATGTAGGGACAGGTCTATTCCATTGATCTCTCTGTCTTTATGCCAGTACCTTGCTGTTTTGATTGCTATAGCTTTTAATAAGGTTTGAAATTGGGAAGTATAAGTCCTCCCACTTTCTTCTTTTTCAAGATGGTTTTGGCTATCCTAGGTCCCTTGCAATTTGATAAGAATTTTAAGACCAGCTTATCCATTTCTGCCAAAATCTTTTGTTTCTTATGTAAACAAATTGTCTGCAAAAACAAGTTCCCTTCTGATACTAAACTTCCTGTTGCCTTTTATTATATTGCTGACCAGTACCTCTCTTGCTTTTAAGCATTAGCATTGATGGTGGGTATCTTGTGATGCTCATAATCTTAAAGGGAATACATGTAAATTTTACCTAAAAGTGTAATATTTGGTGTAACTTTGAGGAATAAGATGTCTGTGAAGTAAGGAAAATTTCTTTCTGTTGATAGCTGGATAAAATATATAATAAAGCAATTAAGTGAAATATTGAATAGAATCTAAGTGGTAGGTATATGGATGTTTGTTACAAAAATCTTTTAACTTTCCTGTGTGTTTGAAAATTTTCCCAATACAATGTTGGGGAGAGGGTATCAGGAGATGAAAGCAGAACATATTTTCCCAGTAGAATATATTAGTTTTCAGTTTATGAAGTAAAGTCGATATAGTGTCATGGAACTACCTGGGTTCAGGTCCCAGATTCTTGACTTACCAACTGTGGGATGTTGAAAAAGTTACCTAACGATCTGTGTTTTAGTTTTCTCTAAAATATTAAAATCGTCATATAGTTATGAGTATGGCTGGATGGCTGGTTGGCTTCCTCACTGTTGGATCGGTGCTTGGCACATACAAGTTTTAGTATGTGTCAATCACTAACTGAGCACAATTGAAATATGTGCATTTAATTTGTAGAAACATGTATTTTGCTACATTGTGTTTTAAAATTTCACTTAAAAATTTTTGTTTAGTTAAGATGAGGTCAATGCCAGATCTGGAGGCATGATGGGAGACCGGGATAAGAGGGGAAAAGTGGAAGAATGGACAGGTGGGGAAATGAAAGGGACTGATTATGTGCTTTTGAATAAGAAGTTCATGCTGTAATTGATTGGCCTTTTTTAAAATAAAACTTTATATTGTACATATACTCTAAATGTTCTATTGAAAATCTTTACACAGCAAAAGACAAAAGCAAAAGTAACTTTCCTTGCATAAAACCATCCTTTCAATTTCTGTAGATTGACCTAGAGGCTGAGAGGGTGAGTACTGTAGCTGGCATTGGAATTCAAGGTACAGATAAAGAAGGTGGAGCAAAAGGAGAACAACAACCCATTAGTTCCCCTTGGGATGTAGTTTTTGGAACATCAGGTATGTGAACTTTTGACATTAAATGTAAAAGTAAATTTTGCTTCATATAAGTTTTAAAAATATTCTTGAGATGGTCATTTGGATTCTATTGCTAATTGCTTTATTTTATACTTTTATACCTATGCCTCAGAGTTTGTTAATTGTGTAAAAACAAAGCTAGCAGTAATATAGGTATATATTATATATACTAGAGTATGTATTATATATAATATTACCTATTTTATTTTATCTGTAAGATAGACTATGTGTTACTCTGAAGAATTATGTATTAGATGCACCCTACAATTAATGTAGTTCTGAATTTCTTATATTGAAAGGATTATAGTTTCAGAACTTCAAAACATTATTCATAAACAGTAATCAATAATAATAAAAATAAATTTATTTATTATTCATAAATAAGGAACTTACAGTGTCATTATATACTCTAGTTTGGAAAAGAAAAAGAGGCAGCTGCTTTTGCTTTAGATTTAAAAAATTTATATTAAAGTATGATAGCTTCTTTTGAACAATTGAACTTTTACCCTACTGAATTGTGTAGACATTGATAATGAATGAAACGTAATGTTACCTTTATTATCTATATTAATTGACCAAAAGAAATCCAGGAGGCCGGGTGCGGTGGCTCAAACCTGTAATCCCAGCACTTTGGGAGGCCGAGACGGGCGGATCACGAGGTCAGGAGATCGAGACCATCCTGGCTAACACGGTGAAACCCCGTCTCTACTAAAAAATACAAAAAACTAGCCGGGCGCAGTGGCAGGCGCCTGTAGTCCCAGCTACTCGGGAGGCTGAGGCAGGAGAATGGCGTGAACCCGGGAGGCAGAGCTTGCAGTGAGCTGAGATCTGGCCACTGCACTCCAGCCTGGGCGGCAGAGCGAGACTCCATCTCAAAAAAAAAAAAAAAAAAAAAGAAATCCAGGAGTACTCTTATTAGTATTCTTATTTTTTATTGGCTGTCAGTGATACTGAGATGGTCATTTACATGTCTAAAATTGGATTGATGAGTAAACAAAGTTAGAATACATCGAAAATGGAATTTTGGACTAAATGGTTGGTGTTGTCTTCATATATTTGAAGAGTATATAAGTACCTGCTTAGTTGAAAGCCTGTACATTTGGGATAATTTTCTTTTATGATGCCAATTTAATTATGATTCAAAGACCCTACTTTTTTTGTTATTAACTTTTATAAAGCACTTAAAAATTCATAAAATAAATGAGTGAACTTCTAGTACTACCTGCACTTAACACTTAAGTATTTTGTATAGGTTATTTTTGAGAATTCTATTTGTGGAATTGTGTGTTGTAAACATTTATAATTTGTTTTGTAGCTCACCAAGGGGGATGGTATAGTAGGAGCAGTGCATCCGACTAAAGGGATACTTCATATGTAGAGAATTTTGAAATATTAATACAGTGAACTAAAACTCAGTCTCCATTTTATTACCATGCACTAGCAATTCTAAATAATTCCAGGGCTAAATCTTCACCAGTACTTTTCACTTTTACCTCCCTGCCTTATTTGCTTTACTTATGATTATTTTTACTAAATTGTATTTAGTGTGATGTTATTTATTACATGAGCTGTTCTATAGTGCAAGTAAACAAACTACAGCTACATTTAGCAGCATGGACAAATATAACAAGGGATATTTTGAGTGATAAAAGAAAGTTACAGAATATGTACAATATAATTTATTTGTAGAAATCTACAATGTGATTTCTTTTATAGCAAGTACAATAGCATTTAATACAAGCACTGGGAGATCCATTCAGACATAATAAAGTTAAAAAGTAAGAAGAATGATAAATGTACATTTTTATACTAGTGGTTTCTTATGGGAGGAGGAGCAATTAGGTAAGAAAAAGAAATAAAAGGCATCCATATGGGAAAAGAAAAGTGAAATTGTCTCTGTTTGCTGATGGACGTGATCTTATATGTAGAAAATCCTTATGACTACACCAGAAGACTATTAGAGCTGATAAATTTTGTAAAGTTAAAGATAAGAAAATCGACATACAAAAATTAATAGTGTTTCTATATATTAACAGTGAGTGGACTATCCAAAAAAGAAATTATGAAAACAATTTCATTGACGGTAGCATTTTAAAAAGTAAAATAGTTAAGAGTTAATTTAACCAAGGAGGTGGAAAGATCTGTACACAGAAAACTATAAAACATTGATGAAATAATTTGAAGAAGACAAATAAATGGAGAGATATCCCATGTTCATGGATTGGAAGAATTAATATTGTTAAAATGTTCATACTACCCAAAGCATTCTACAGATTCAGTGTAATTTCTATCAAAACTGTGTTGTCGTTTTTCTTAGAAATAGAGAAAAACTATCTTAAAATGTATATGGAACTAGAAGAGATCCTGAATAGCCAAAGCAGTGTTGAGCAGAAAGAACAAAGCTGGAGGCATCACACTTCCTGATTTCAAACTATGAAGCTGTTGTAATCAAAATAGCATGGTACTGTTATAAAAACACACATATCAACCAATATAACAGGATAGAAAACCCAGAAATAAACCCAAGTATTTACAGTCAAATGATTTTCAACACAAGTGCCAAGAACACACAATGTGGAAAGGACAATTCCTCCTACAAATGGTGTTGGGAAAATTGGATATCCACATGCAGAAGAATGAAATTGGACCCTATCATATACAAAAACCAATTCAAAATAGATTAAAGACTTGTAAGTCCTGAAACGGTAAAGTCACAAGAAGAAAACAGGAAAAGCTCTACTCTACAACATTGATCTGGGCAATGAATGATTTATTGGATAGGACTCCAAAAACACAGGCAACAGAAGCAAAAATAGACCAATGGGATTGCATCAAACTAAAACGCTCTATACAGCAAAGAAAACAATTAACAGAATTAAGAGACAACCTATGGGTTGGGAGAAAATATCTGCAAACCATGTAACCGATAAGGGGCTAATATCCAAAATATGTAAGGAACTCAAACAACTCAGTATCAAGAAAACAACCTGACTAAAATATAGGGAAAGGGTATCAACAAACATTTCTCAAAAGAGATATGAATGGCAAGCAGATATATGAAAAAATATTCATCATCTCTAATCATCAAGGAAATGAGAACGAAAGCAATATGCGGTATTACCTTACACCTGTTAGAATGACTTTATCAAAAAGACAAATGATAAATGTTGATGAGGATGTGGAAAAAAGAGAACCTTTGTACACTGTTGGGATTGTAAATTAATACAGACCTTTTGGAAAATAGTATGGAGGTGCCTCAAAAAACTAAAAATAGAATATTTATGTGATCCAGCAGTCCAACTTAACAAAGGCATTAAAATTGCTATGTCATAGAGATATTTGCACTCCTATATTTATTTCAGCATTATTCACAATTGCTAAGATATGGAGGCAACCCAAGTGTCCATCAGTGGATGAATGGATAAAGAAAATGTATATCTAAGGCTGGGCCTGGTGGCTCATGCCTGTAATTTCAGCACTTTGGGAGGCCGAGGTGGGCAGATCACCTGAAGTCAGGAGTTCAAGACCAGCCTGGCCAACATGGTGAAGCCCCGTCTCTACAAGAATACAAAAATTAGTCGGGCATGATAGTAGGTGCCTGTAATCCTAGCCACTTGGGAGGTTGAGGTGGGAGAATCAGTTGAACCTGGGAGGCAGAGGTTGCAGTGAGCCGAGATCACGCCACTGCACTCCAGCCTGGGCAACAGAGGAAGACTCTGTGTCTAAAACAATGAAAAGAAAATGTGTATCTACACACTGGAGTACTATACAGCTTTAAATACTGTCACTCATGGCAACATGGATGGAAGCAGAGGACATTATGCTAAGTGAAATAAGCCAAACACAGACAGATACTATATGATCTTACTTGTGGAATCTAAAAACATCAGTCTTAGGCTGGGCATGATGACTCATGCCTGTAATCTCAGCACTTTGGGAAGCTAAGGTGAGAGGAATTCTTAAGGCCAGGAGTTTGAGATCAGTTTGGTCAACATAGCGAGACACTATTTCTACAAAAGAAATTTTAAAATAAAAAATAAATTTAAAAAAATTGTAAGAAAATCTCAGAAAAGGAATGTAGAAAAGTGGTTGCTAGAGGCTAGGAATAAGGGAAGGTATGGGGAAAGAGAAGAGGTTGATCCAAGGGTACAAAGTTTCAGTTGGAGGAATAAGTTTTAGAGATAATTGTGCACTGCATGGTGACTAACCTGTAGTTATTATTTCACAGCTGCTAAAAGCGTATTTAACATTTGCACCACAGAAAAAAATGTTGGTAAGGTCATAGATATGTTATTTAGCTTGAGTTCATATTTCTACAGTGTACACATAGATCAAAACATGACGTACCCCACGAATGTACACAATTATTATTGGTCAATTAAAAATTTGAAAAAAGAGATGTAGGAAAGAGACTAGAAATATCTCATTATTTTAAATCTACATGTAATATGTAAATGCATGTGTTTATGTATTTTAAATAGTATCTGAATATTTAACCTAACTATAACTGTACAGTCATAAAATAATTAGTATAAAGTGACTTTTAAAAAATTACGTTTTATCTGTGTTCATTTTTTAATTGTCATTCTTAATGTGGTCAGAACATCATGCACCAAAAATAATTACTACAGTAAGTTCATTTTTTCAGCAGGTACATTGTAATGTTTCTAAAATGTGTATCAGGTCTCTGTTGACTCCATTCATACCAGACAGCAACCTGAAAGACACTAAGGTTGAAACCTCTATCAGCATCTCTCTTTTTTTTTTTTTTTTTTTTTTTGAGACTGAGTCTCACCCTGTCACCTAGGCTGGAGTGCAGTGGCGTGATCTCAGCTCACTGCAACCTCTCCCTCCCGGGTTCAAGCGATGCTCCTGCCTCAGCCTCCCGAGTAGCTGAGATTACAGGTGTGCACCACCATGCCTAGCTAATGTTTGTCTTTTTAGTAGAGATGGGGTTTCACCATGTTGGCCAGGCTGGTCTC